AAATAATAAAAATCATATATTTAATGTACACATGCGTGTGCCTGAGTGTATACGTGTGCACTTCATATGTGCAAGTACCTGCAAAGCCAGGAGATAGCATTGGATCTGCTGGAACTGAAGTTACAGTAAATTATGAATCTCTCTCTATATGGGTGCTAGCAACTGAACCCAGGTCCTCTACACGAGCAGCAAGTGCTCTTAATCTCCAAGTCATCTCTCTAGGCCCCTGTCATGTCTTTGAAGATGGATACCTTTGAGACATGAGAGGAGGCAAGAGAGCAGAAGTCACACACTTCAGCTCCTTTCTTTGGGCTTCCGTGCTATAAATGGTTCATTAGTTTGGGGATGGAGAAAGCACCAAGCATGCATAATGGTCTTACTTCACTGAGTAGAATGAATGGATTTTATTTTATATACTTTGAAATGTACAGTAAACTCTTCCCGAGACCTTTGGAAAACCTTGAATTTGTAAATCCAGAGGTCTCACCTCTGTGGCAATCTGTTTCCATGCCCCTAGTATTTATGGCCTCAATTAATCCCTTCTCCTGGACGTGGCACTTGCCTCTTTCCATTGTGAAAACTAGCCATGTGTTCAATCAGAAGGCCTAGCAGCTTCTGCCTCTATATTCTTGGGGACCCTGAGCTGTAAGGTAAGTCATCCAGCTACCCTGGATGAATCAGCTGGGGAGAGAGAATCCCTGAAACTGCATAGAAAAAGGGACAGAAGCATAGTCAGCTGGGCATCTCATGGGAATCTAGCCCTCAAGTGACATGCCATCTGACCTGCCACCTGAAAGCCTAGCCAGAATGGCTGGCTAAGTTCATCCCAGACTGTAGAATTCAACACCAACGGATAAGCAGCTAGCTATTGCTCAAGCCAATAAGGCTTGGGGTGATTTCTCATACAATAGTAAAAAGAAGAACCCCAAATAGCAGCAATCTCAAGGTCAAGTACCCACCCACCATGTCCATTCACTACCCTTCAACATCACAACAGTCTTTTCTCATTCAATGGACCCTTCTCACAAATAAACAGATTTTGGGTTCTCTCAGAATAGTAACTGCATACACAATGATGACTAGATCAAAAGTGTTGAAAAAAAGAAAGGAAGGGAGAGAGGGAGGGGAAGGAGGAGAGAGGGGGAGGGAGGGAGGGAGGGAGGGGAGGGAGGGAGGAAGGGAGGAAGGAAGGAAGGAAGGAAGGAAGAAGGAAGGCAGGCAGGCAGGCAAGCCACACTATGCTGCTAGAGCTGGAGGTTGGGGGTTGGGCTTCTTCACTAAGTAGTTCAATACTTTGTGTTAATTTCATAGGCTTGGGGCTCAGAACCCCAGTTCAGAAAACTTACAAATGACTCTCTGCCACCCAGTTTCAAGGTCACTCACTAAAAGATGAGACTAAAAATGTTAAATCTTGAGTATCATGGTCTACACTAATTATACACCCCAGAAAGGACTGGACAAGAAATCCACCAGATCAGAGAGGACACATAGTAAAAGAAGTCAGAACTGTCCTGCTCAGAATCAAATTTACCATCTGTCACTTATTAAGCAAAAAACCTCTAGGAAGTCACTAGGTCTTTAATGCCTCCATTTCCTCACCTGTAAATGGGAATCATAACACTTCCTACTTCCTAAGATTATTGTGAAGATTGAATGAACTAATATTATATGTATACAGCATAGATAAATGCCTAGTTATTTTTTGCCTGACTGTAAATGATTGTACTGTAAGAATTGGGAAGAAATGTACATGGATTTTAAATCATATAAATAGCTCTTTTAGTGACTACACACTAGGAAAGGATGCCAGCTTTCAGAAACTATATCTTATATAATTGCTCTCTTAAGAGGGCAGGGTCAATATGGCATGGTAGGAAGAGTATGAGCCAAGAAATGTGGATCTAGGTTCTTACTACAGCCCTGCTTTAAACTAGCTACAGGATGCAGGAAAGGTTACCTAGAAAATGGGACTAATGACAGGGACTTTTGCCTAAAGATGCTGAACCCAGACAGTTTCTCTGAGAGCCTTTTGTTTCTACACCTTTCAAAATCTCTTTGAGGTGGAAAGGGAGGAGTGGAATTATCATCAATTTTAAGATGGAGCTCTGAACTGAATTTGGTCAAACTCAAAACACCAAAGCAGAGGTGAAGCGGGGAGGGGGTTCCTTTATGCAAGAGAATATATTAGTCATGCACAGACTGCACACAGACTATACATCCTAGGCCCTTGGCAGTTAGATGTGGTCATGTGATTGCCTTCTGGCCATGGACTTGGATGATGAGTGCCCCTTCCAGGGCAACCTTCCACAATCTCATTTTCTTCTGTTGCTGACTTGGGCAAAGGACCCAGCAGGGACTCCAAGTCTCCAGAGAATGGAAAAGCCACAAGAGGGACAAGATTAGGCTGCTTCTCACAGCAAATCCCAAAGCTGATTAGACTTTATTTATATAAGAATGTTGTGTTATCCATCTGAGGTTTAGGGTTTATGTGTTGCCTTCCTTGAATGATATGCTCTTTATGGGCCCCTAGTTAATTGCTAATTCAGCTTCTGATTTCAAGAAGAAACTGACCTTCAACCTAAGACCAAGAGATCATTGATTTTTTATTTGTTACAGGTTGAGCCAAACCAATGATACAGACTTGAGAAATCTGAATTCCAACTCCCTGTCTCTTAACCCTCTACATCTAAGCCTCTACTCTTCTAAGCTGGCCAAAGGAGGCTGCCCACACACTGGCCCACTGGGCTGCATTTAGTTGTAATTTGTCCTATGTGTTTCTTTAGGGAGTTAAACATGAGAGCTTTAAGGGAAACCAGTTGTTGTTTGCAAGACACTATGAGAAGACCAGAAAGATGAATATCTCAGGTGTTCTGTTGTCTGGTCTCATCCTCTAGATCAAGATTGTTATCTTAATATTTCCCAAGGATTACAGTTATGACCTACAGAAAATTAAGGCAAAGTTTCAAAATCAACATTCACTTTGAAAGGAAAGAGAGAAATTGCCTGAGAGGTTATGGCTCCAACCTGGAGCCAGTGCTGGTCATTCACACCTTTGCTTTTTAATTTGTTTCTTTTGCTGTACATAAATGGCCATTTATATTTTTCAGCAATTACCAGCGAATTCTTGTAAAATAATTCCCATTATTCAACCATATCAGGAACACAGAGTCCATTTTATTTAAAGCTGGGATTTGCCACCCTTGCACCAAAGAAAAGTGACCATGGGAGAAATGGAGGCTTTTGAAAATAAATAATGGAAGAGGCCCAACAGGGTCACACAACCTAGGACTCCTAGAAGAGGACCTGGGCTTCCTCTTATCTGCCACCATTACTGAAAATTCCTCAGCCCCTTTCTGAATTCATTCCACATGGCTCTTGCCCCATTAGCTGAAGACAGACCCCCTCAGAAAGGCTGAGAACCTCTGGCACACCAGGAAAGAAAGGAGTGGTACCCTGGCTACACTATGAAGCTGGCATGATTTGAGTGCTACCTGGACCGTTGGTTCCCCTGTATTCAAAGCCCAACTCCTTTAAGGTGGGGGGAGTGGCCTGCTGGCTCCTGAAACACAGAGTAGGAAGCCCCATGTATAATGCTGGGTGCAACTCAGAGGGAATGTAAAGCCCAAATGTCCACGAATGGGGGCAGGGAAGAGATCCCTTTCCAGGTTCCCATCCTCCAATCCTGCAGCCCAGTTGCTCTGGGTCTCCCACAGGAAGGGATGAGGCTCGGCAGAGCTGCGGCCCTTTCACACAGACCAGCACTCCAGTCTCCCAGCCTTGACCTGAGCCTGGAGCCCGTGTGGCTCCACTCTCAGGTTATAGCTGGCAGTTCAAGTTTGGCTCCCACCAGGCGAATGGGAAGGGAGACCCCAGCCCTGGAATGGTGGGGTCAAAGCAAGCTGCATCTCCAGCCGCAGGGCTATTTTTAGATGTTGTTATCTTTGCCTTGCTCACATGCAGCTGCGAAAAACAAACTGGTGACCGAGGGGCACACAACTGCAAAATAGAAAACCCATAAAACAAGAGCTTCCAAACTCAAGAGCCTATCGCTATGACAGAACACTATTCCACAATGGCCAGATCTGCCTAGCCTTCCCCTGAGGGAGGCCAGTAGGGCTTTGCTCTTTTACTGCAAATGCATTCCTGGCTTGGTCCAGCTTTGGCTCACCAGCCAGCAAGGCTAATCAGCCAGGCAGCCATACTTCTGGCCACGGATGGTGACCTCCTGGGACAGGTATGCCAAGGGAGCAGAATCGATGGGGTTAACACTGCCACACACTGAAAAGCTCCAGCTCTCTCAGTTCTTTCCTCCAGCCCATCCTAACAGTTCCTCTGCCTTCCAGCGTCACAGCTCCATGACAGTGAAACCCCTGCACAGGCAAAATGTCACCCAACATTAAGTAGCAAAGCAGGAAAACAGGAGAGAACCCCAAGCGGGATCCCCGACTTCTCTCAGCGATTAGAGCACCCTCCGCCAAGGCCAAGCCTCAGGTCGCTCTTCCACTCACAGTGCCCTCAAGTCCCCATGTCCCCTTCAGGCAGCCCAACATCAGACACTGCAGCCTTTGCAGACCCCTCCACCCAGCCGCTAAGGGTCTGGACAGCAGCTTGGAAAAGTGGCGCCCCGCCCCAAAACCCGAGATGGGGGTAGGGGGTGGGGAGGCGGCGGCAAACTTCAAAGCTGCAGCTGCAATATGCTTTTTTAAAAATAATAATAAATGTCCCTCGAAAACCAACAGGGTTTCATTTGTCCCTCCAAGCTATGTGTGGTCCACCTTGACCGCCCGCTCACCCTCACTCAGCTCTGCCAAGGGGATCAGGCTCTCTCAGACCTCAGCCACGGGGATTTCCTCTCAGGCTAGCGCGCGGCTGGGCTGCCTGCCGTCCATGCCTCCTCCACCCCCAAGTTCATCCACAACCCAGAGGTGCGAAAAATTAGTTTAAAATTATGTCAATTGCCCATACCCCTTCCCCCCAAGCTGGTCCCCTCTCACACACACCCGCGTGGCCTGGGCTGCGAGTCATGGAGCATCCCGGGGGGTTGCGGTGGGGTGCCGCGCCGAGGCTAGCCTCCCCCGGCGTCCGCTCCGGCTCCGGCTCGGCCCTGGGCAAGCCGCCCGCGCATCTTTCACCAGGTGCAGAAATCCTACCGCCCGTGCGCCCTGGGCGCGCCGCCGGGCCCCGTGCCGGCTCCCCGGGAATGCGGCCGTCAGGTGAGGTAGGCATGCGTGCCGGCTCCGCAGCGAAGCAGCAGCTGGCTGGGGCGCTGGGCTGGGGATCTGCCTCTTCTCCCTCTCCCCGCAAAGGAGAGGCCTCTCGGGGGCGGGAGGGGGGCTTTCCAGCGCCTTGGTGCGTTACGACCGCATTCCCCCTTCCTTTTTTTTTTTTTTTCTTTTATCTTAGTTTCTCCTTCCGATGCAAGAAGAGAGATCTCAGGAATCCATGCCCAGTTCCAGTCTAACTCGGTCCGCAGGCAGAGAGAGAATTATGAATGGATGCTGCCTTCTGATGAGGAAGTCGACTGGGGAGGTCTCTGCGCACGGCGCGCTCCATCAAAGCAGGGGCATTGGCCCCTCCACTGCTTCAATGCTGCAGGCTGAGCCACCTAATTGACCACTGGGAAATCAGGTGCCAGGAGACCTGGGCGGGACGAAGCCCCGGGGCCACGCTGGGATCGAGCGCCTAGCCCGTGTAGACAGCTTCGATTTACAGCCCAGTGAATGGGGAGGACTGCGGCAGCCAAACCTCCCGGGCAGCAGGCAAGGCTGCACCAATGCTCCGCAGACAGCCGCCCGGCTCCGCGAACATCTCCGGTCTCCACTGGGCTAGAAAGAACCTGGCTAGAAAGAATCTGTCCCCTGCTGCCAGCCGCAGTGATCTGCAGGTCTCAGCCCCCAGCCTGAAACTCGGCGGCGCGCGGGAGTCGGCCTGTGCGCTTCCACGAGCTGGGGGTTGCGGAGGATCCCGGATCCGGATTTCTTGTACCTGTGCGATAGTGCGACCGCTGTGGCTGCGTGTTACCCATACCCAGAGTGGCAGCAGACTCTGCACATCACCAACAGGCTAGACCCACCGCGGCTGCTCAGCACCGCACCCCCGTGGCTCCCCTCTCACATCCCTGTCCCCAGCCTCTGGACATAGCAGAGGAATTGGAGAGGCCAACCATGGCAAGCCCACCTTCTAAAGCAAAAGGACTAAGATCAGCTATGGCATGTGCTGGCATGTAACATGGGTAGAGGGGCAGGAAAAAAATGTAACATTGCATCCCCTCCCCCCATTCATCTCTGGACTCTGAAGCCTCACATCTAGACACAACTCACTCTTCCCTGGCTTAAACACACTGCAAGGACAATGCCTTTGCAGCCGTGTATTAATCTCCAGGGAAGGATGATTTACTAGACCAGCTCCGAGGGTGAATCAGGATTAAAAACCATGACACTGTGTGCCCATGCCTTAGGCAGGCAGGTTCTATATATAACAAGCCAGTGCAGAAGGCAGAGTCATTTAGGGCCACTTAAAACAACGCTTATGAGATACAATCTAATATATAGCAAGGAGGAAACCAGTGAATGAAATTATCCAAAGATGCCTTGTGGAATGCCCGGTTTTGCTCATTTGTCTTGAGGCTTTTGAAACTCATTTAGGGGAAACTTGACTATTTTCTGACTGGGTTGTCTATTTGTAAATAGGGAGGTTGGTGCCCTGGGCAGATTTGCATGTATGAGCAAGATTCTGTCCATAAGGCCTTTAACTCCTGCATAATTCACAGTTGTGGTGAGGCACACATTTTACCAAGGTCACAAGAAATCACGGGGTACGCAGGAACCTTGAGTAAAGAATATTTCCTAATTGGCATTACTATGAATTAATGATTGTGGTCACATGAAGAATCACATTGAACCCAAGTTCGTCTGTGTTGGCAGCACTCCTCCAACCCTGCTCATGCCAAAAGGCTTGGAGGGCCTCCAGCAGCCAGCAAGGGCAGGGAATCTGGCAGGAGTTCCCATGGAAGACAGTGTCCAGGACAAGAAAGATAAGGGGAAGAGAAGGTGTAGCCACTTTCCCAGTGAGCCATGAACCCCAGAGTTTAAAGGGTGAGTAGGCAAAGGAAGGGGTGACTAGAGAGGAAGAGAGATGAGTCGGAGAAGCAGGAAGTCAGGATGGGGACAGGTCTCACATCAGAAGCTAGGGAATGACAGAGTTGCAGGATCACAGTGTGATCAAGAATGCCAATGCCTTAGGTGGCAGAGATATTATTGAGGAGGGCAGCCCTGGATCTGGGAAGCTTTGGGATAGTCTGGAGGAGAAGCTACTCATAGAAAGGTTGGGATGGATAGAAGAGAGGCACAGATTTTTTTTCTTTAGCCCTTCTACTTGAAGGACCAGCAACAGCAGCAGAATCAACAGATGGGGGGCATCAGAAATGATATCCACAAGCCCCAACCCAGACTTGCTGCATTACACTGAGGGTGAGGCTCAGTGGCCATCTGTCTTCATGGGAGCAAGCTCTCAGACCAACTTCAATGGGAGCAAGGCTCCGTCGTGTGTGAGCTCCAACTTCCCAGGTGTTGAGAATAGAATTTCTGTAAGGGTGAACAAAATGGCTACCTTCCACAGCAATCCTGGACAAGACTGCAGGTAGTTGATGGCCAAGTCACTAATCACACAGTTAAAGCAGATGAACTACTTGCTCTAGGTTTTCAGGGCTGCTTCATCAAGGGGGAACCTTGACAATGAGGAGTGCAGAATTGTAAATGGTGATGAAAATTGCCAGTTCTTTGCCCCTTCATATTGAAATGTCCAATACTTAGGTGGTTCTTAATAGTGGTAATGGAATTAATATGACCAGATTATTTAAATTTGAACAGGGTTTTAGCAAGTCTTACAGAGTAAATAAAACAAATATGAGCTTTGAACTCAGAAATACCAGAGTCTTTTTTTCTTTAGCTCTTTTTTAAAAAATAAGATCCTCAGAAAGAATCCTAGCTTCTATATCCATTAGCAAGTGCAGCTTTGGTTACATTCTTTAACTTCTCCATTATTTGGTTTTTTCACTTGTGACATGAATGTAAGAATATCTAATTTAGAGGAATGCTAAGAGAGTAAATAAAACAACAGTTATAAAGCACAGTGTTGGTGCCTGACATATAGCAAAAGCTCAGTGAAGGTAGAGCCTTCCTGTGTTTGAGGTCTTCCCATACAGTGCTCCTACTATATATGTTTCCCCTGGGGTTCCCATGATCTGTGCTGTGGTTAGGGTACCTGAGGTTTTCTATGGCTCAATGGTTCAAATGGAAGCACTTACTGTCAAGTATTATACTGACTGCTAGAAGAGACAGAGCAGGGACCAATGCCCTTTGGAGCTAACATTCTAAGGACTTAGTTTATACCCAAGTCCATGTGGGTGTCGTGCTTATTTTTATTGGAATACCAGGTCTCAGGAGAAAGAATTGCAAATGTGTCCTCCCTTAGACTAGTGAAGATCTACAGCAAGTTTTATCTGAAAAGGGCCAGACAGAAAGTATTTTAGGCATTGCAAGTCACATGGTCTCTGCTATAACCACTCTTGTCTGTTGTAGTAGCTCAAAAACAGCCAAAAAGAATGCATATGTTCCAAGAAATGTTTGTGTTATTCACAAAAACCAGAGAGTAGGTGGGATTTAGCCACAGACTCTCCTTTTTGAATCTCTGACTGACAGTGTGGCTCAAACACAATTCTTCTTTTTCACTGATTTGTTAATCCTAGGTAAAGTATAGTCCTTTTGCCAGCATGAGGTTGGAAACAGAAGAGGAACTGACCAATGGAACACTGGATGTGTGTCTCCAGGCACCACCCATAAAACTCCTACCCATTCCCTATTATATTCTTCTCTGCTGGCTGAACAGAGGCCTCATGGGGACAGTGGAGCCCCAAAATGGGTACTCAAATGACTAGACAATGACCTGCATTAAACTTAGCTAAGTGAAAAATAAGCTACCGAAATGTTGGAGATTTTATTCCAGAATTTGCCTACCTTGAGTAATTCATTTTCCTATCTCTTTAATCAGACGATAGAAAACACAATTTAATGCTTTGCTGATTACTTAGGGTCTTTATTAAGAAGGCTTATTATTGGTCTCTATGGTAACACATTTCTAAGACACTTTTTGGATTTCCAAGCTCGTGTTCTTTGATATTTAGTTCTTAGCTGTCATTCCTCTCACCCTCTTTCTAGTTCCTTCCCTAGAGTTGGAATCCACAGTGGGCCCAGTTCACCTCTCTCCCCACCATACATACACCCTCCTTATGTTTACCTGGAGCTACTTTCTGGCTTCAGTCTCTTTGGCTCTAAAACGAACCCATAGCTGGGTGACATCTGTCCACTAAAAAACTAATCGTCTGAGCAAGAGCCTTCAGGATGAAATGCACGGGCTCACTGACAACTCTTTATAGCCTTGAAAAACATCCTTCTCGGTAAGCTTTCGCTTATTTCAAGGCTTAGGGCTGTGTTCCAGAAAGCTAAAGTCATTGGAAGCTCAGCAGCTCTGAGAAAAACAGGCAATTCTGTATTGTCCAGCCTATGCACGTTCAAAGCTTTATTTCTTCCACCAGCTATGTTGGGGGATTCCATAGTACAGGCTCTACTTCTATCCCTTAACATTCATGGACTCCTTGATTTTTGAAATACTGCCTCTCTCCACATGCTGGCATATACATTTTTAAAACTCACCATTTCTGCTTAATTGAGTATTTCGTTGATGCCAACAGATCTTAGTTGGCACCTATTTTGTTGGAGCTGGGAAAATGGATTGTAAAATGCTACATAATTTCATCTAGTTCTAGAGGTGGTATATTATCTTCGTATTTATGGAGGACTTAGCAAGAAAATTCAGCCATGTGTTAGACCTGGAGTCTGAATTATAGTGAACAGTGAGAATGTGGTCTTCTCCCAGCACGAAATGGAAATCTGAAGAGGAATCAGTGAGGCCTGACCAAGAAGAGGGAGAACAGAGAAGACTCAGGGAGTCTAACTACCTTGACAGTCTCATTTTCAGGGTAAGGCTGTTTTTGAAAGAAAAAATAAGATCCAATTTAAAGATCTTCTGCTTTTTCTCCTAAAAAAACCCAAGAAGGGTAGAGATCATCTACCAGATTTTCTCTAGGTCTTTCATTCTGTCTATTATTCTATGAGACCTGGAGACCTAAATACCTTCCAAAGTAGTTTTCAATGGTCAGTATTTATTTATTCTCCACATTTCTGCTGAGTGTTCATAATTCACAACTATACACATAACTATCAGTGTCCATAAAGGCAGAAACATGTTCATATCTGGGTAAACTTTTTATCCCAAGCTGACCTTGTTGGTGACCACAGGGATCCCAATTCCAGCCCTATGCTTTCCCAGCACATCCACCTGCTCTTTGTGTTTTCCTAGAGCTACTTCCCAACCTTATTCTCTTTGGCTCTAAAATGTACTAAGACCCCAAATGGATACTCAGATTTGCCTCCTAGGCTTACTTCTCTGGAGCTATTGGATGTCCCCTTCATCGATATGGATGTTGCTAAACTTTACTTCTCATCTATTGTAGTCGCCGTCATTAGAACTGCTGCTGTCCCACCCCTGTTCGTAAGACATTGCCAAAATATAAAAATGGATCACTCATTCACAAAGAACTGTTGTTTATTCATACAAATTTTATACAACAACAAATGTTTTGTTTTGTTCTCCAGAGCAGGGGATTGAACCCTGGGCCTCACACATGCTAGTCAAGTGCTCTACCACTGATCTTTATCCTCAGCCCTTATCACAACAAATGCAAATTAATTTCAGGGCACAAATACCTAAGTTAGTATCTATATGGCTGCCTGAATAGATTTTCTTTCTCCAAATTCTCCAAACCATCTGGCATAAACTACTGTATTGTGACCTGTTAAAATAAGTAACAGCTGTGATAATCCCTCTGGATTTATAGCAAGCTATAAAACTTTGCATATACTAGCAATGCATATAAAATAATAAATAAAACCATTATCATTCTGTGCTGCTTTGGTGGGAATTATGATGATTTAGCCAAAATGGAACCCTATGGACTGCATCAGAGCAGAAGTATTAGGCAGAGGTTTTGTCCAACCTGGCTTCCTCTAGCCCCAAAAGACTAAGTTTGCTACTTGGAACTCCTGGTTATTTTCAAAAACCTTATCCAGTACAAATGCAATGCACCCTTTCTAAAAGGACATGATTACAGAGGCTTTCCCCAACTCCTATTATTTCAAAGTTTTTTTTATGCCAGTGGATTCCCCAGATACCCCACAGTATATCTATTCAGAGCACAAAAAAAGCTAAGCACAACTTAAAACATAAAATAATTTATAGCACAAAATCTAAGGGTTTTTTTCTAGTAGTTGTTAACTGTAAGTTATGTTTGCAAACACTGCCAAGATTCCAGGTTAAAAATATTTTATCGAAGTCATCTCTCAAATGTAAGTATCACATGGGTAAGACAGGCTGGTATCTGGCAGGGAAAGGGACAAAGCCACTTTGATTCTAAGCAAAAGATAGTTACCATGCCCACTGCACATGGATTTCACAAATGTAAGGAGACAAGGAGGGAAAGCAAGGAATGGCATGACTGACATGAGACGACTCTTCACGAGGTTCTGAACATTACACCATAATCTCATTTAGTCTTCCCAACAGCCCTATATAGGCCTTACTAATTATCATTCCTGTTCATGGTTGAGGAAACTGATGCTCAGAGAGATTAAGTAACTTGCCCAAGGGCATCCAGACAAGGTGGCAATGTAGAGTGGGAATTCAGTTCTATTTGATTCCCAAGTTCATTTTCGTTTCCCTTTACTCCACCTTTCTGGATATCTCTTCATCTGCTATGACCCATGGAAATTTCATGGGCAGTAGCCCATTGTCATGGCCGTGAGAAATGTCCACATCTTTCTTTCCTATTTGAATGCAAGCAGGAGATTCATTATTATCAGAAGAACTTGGGAGTTATTTTGATTTACATGTATGAAAACTTGCAGACAAGTTACTGGGTTGTTATGGTAGATTTCAGAAACAGTACTTTTTAGTTCTTCCCATCAACAGGTGGAGTCTGTTTCGGAGCAGGCTTATGACTTCATTTGACCAATGGAGTGCAATAGAAATTAGGTTGCACACATTCTGACCCTGAACCACAGGAGCCTTGGAATTCCTGCTAACTGTAGTTGCTAACAACTTCCTGCATCTCTACAAAGGAGTCAGGACAAGCCTTCTGAATGATGAGACAAGTGTGGCCCAGCACCACCACCACCCCACCAGACACACAGACACACACACACACACACACACACACACACACACACAGACACACACACAGACACACACACACACACACAGACACACACAGACACACACAGACACACACACACACACACAGACACACACACACACAGACACACACACACACAGACACACAGACACACACACACACACACACACACACAGACACACAGACACACACACACACACACACACACACACACACACACACACACACACACACACTTGTCTTGGATCACAGCCTGCTAGCCACCAGGCAAGTGCAGGAGTCCACCCTGGGTCACAAACCTTAGCTGACCCACTCCCGGTGCATAGGCATGCACTAAAGAATTTAACTGAGCCAAGCTCTCTCTAAGCAGAAAACCTACCTGTCAGGTCACAAAGAAACTCAGAACAAATGGCTAGCTGTGGTGCCTATTAACATACCAAAGTGTCTGCTTGGCCTCTAGACTCACTCAGTACCTGTGGCTCCTTTCAAGATTTCTCACCCTGCCCCCTACCCTAAACCTCTCCAGCCCAGAGGCTTCCCTTCCCTTCCCCCAGCTTCTCTTTCCTATAGAACCCTGCCATTTTGGCCATG